TGCATCTCTGGACTCCAGACTGAGTGTGGATTTCGTGTAATCTCTCAATGCGTGTGTGTGTGCTCAAGGTGTCATTCAGTGAGGCTCAATGCACTTACCTTGCAGGCAGTTAAACAATTTCCAGCCTCCGAAACACCGTAAAACATGCATGGCTCCTTCTGACTGATGAGCAAATCCTATGTGATGGAGGGGAATAGAGTGGGGCCCGCAACAGAGAGGAAGCTCGCCCCCACAGTTCTGATGGTACTACTGCAGTCACGGAGGGAGACATTCCCAGCTTTGCTTCAAGCACTGGGTTTTGGGGGAAGACGGGATGCTGACAACCAACGATGCCAGATGGGGTGTCATGACTCGAATCTGGCATATTGAGCATATGTGCAAAGAGGAAGCAAAGGAATGGAAAACAGTAAGAGAGCTAAGCCATCACCTCAAGGGCTGAGAAATCTACAGGGAGTCATCCACCGAGTCCCCAAGGAAAAGCAAACACTGCTTAAAAAGAACTCTAAATGGGAACTAGGAGATTGGGGTGTAATAAACTCATTGCATAGACATACAGCCGCGGGTTAGGGTCGTCACGTTTTGTCAAAGACCAGAAACAGGGGTCAAATGTCACGTCCCAAATCTGAGAAATGTCTGTGAGAGAACCTAGGTTCAAGGGGTATTGAGGCGTGAGTCAGAAACAGCGGCCAGAGGAAAATCAAGAGTCAGACCCAGCACCGGAAAGGCAGACCCAAAGTCAAAGTCAACCCCGTTGTCAGCCTCGGCCATAGATCTAGATGCACATCAATGGTTGTTTGCAGGTATCCAGAAGATTGCAGTCCCGACTGGGAAAGGGCACTGCTGCTGCAAGGATGCATCCAGGCCGTCAAGATCTGGCAAATCTGAAGCGTTGACACGGCAGAGCAGACGGGTCCACGCCAGTCAATGTTGGTCAACACTACATAAAGTCAGCCTGACCACTGGGGAAGGCGTTCTGCCTTGCGCTCGCTCGATTCCAGTGCTGCTACGTGAGGCTACTGGAGTGTG